CATCATAAATGTTAAAAGAATATAGTGTTGCTAATACTTTAAATTTTAATTATTTCAACTGTATTATTATAAGCAGCAACGCAGGTAACATCACAATTCACTATGCGTAATTGTTAATAATATTTGCGAACCGCAAAACATCCTCAAAATATCCTAAAAAATAATTTAATAAAATGTCAGAAATCGCTATATTATGCAATTACGCCACACAAAATTACTAAATATTACAAACTTGTATATCTAGTATAAATTTTTGATTAATGGAATCGACTCAATTAAATAATTTATTTTGTAAAAAAAAAATTTCTTTTAAAACATGAAATTGATTAATGCAAGTTCAAAAATTATTAACGACCAGTGAAAATTCAATCATATTAAAGAATAAAAATTAAAATAATGGCTTAAAAATGGTGTTTTCATTATTCATATATGCTTGACAACATTTCTTGTAGATTTATAGTTTAAAATTATATTTCCTTCACCTTCACCATAGCATTAAGATCAAGATCTTGCACTGCAATCTTAATGATAAATTTTTTCATATCAGATATTTAATTTGTCTCTTTTCTTTTATTTTTTATATTTAAAATATTTGGCACTACATAAATTTTCGAAACCTTCTCTTTTAATATTATTAATTATTTGTCAACTAGAACTTAATCTTATATGATTTCAATGACTTTTCATCAATAGTATGAATCAAGATTAAAAGATTATTTATTATTAAAATTTATTTGTTTTTATATTCATTTATAAACAAATACTAAAATTAAGCCATTAAAATGAATAACATTTGAGTATACACTTTTCTGATTTCATAAATATCCAATTTTAAATTCATATAGATTTAATGAAAGATGTTGGATAAGAATTGTTAATCTCATAAATACACACATAATATGTAACATTTAATAGATTATATTAACATTAAATCTATACTCAAATCATCAAGTACATATCTAGTCTTAAATATATATAAATTATTAAATTATCCTTTTAAAAGAAATATTAATTATTCAACTCAAAAATTATGGCATATCTATATATAACGTTTGTAAAATGTAGTATAAATTTTAAACTAATATTTATAAGATATTTTTTGCTGAACAAATTCTGTCCAAAGAATTAATATCGAAAAATTATATGCAAGATCAGATATTGCTCTCATATACATGAAATTACAGAATAAAGTATAATACAAATTAATAAAATCTATACGATAATAATCATTCCACCTATTTAATAACAATTTTCATTTTTAATATCTCATTTTTTAATAATAAACATAACTATAATCACAATGTCTCCTTCATAATTAATAAAATCTTGTTGAGTTACATATGCATATATAAATATGAGTTACGTATACATATATCATATTGTAATTTTAAATTTATTGTAGACAGATACAACAACCAGACTGAATTTTTTCTATAAACAATTTAGTTTGTATAATTTCCTATATAGTATACATACCCTAAGAGTACGACACATTAAAATCATTAATTTTCATAATTGAAAAAAAAAATTGAATTTTTAGACCGTCGGGAATTCAAATATTTTACGTATATGATAATACAGAAATTAAAATGAACCTTAAATATTTAAAGAATCTAAATCATTTCAAATTAACCAGAAAAAAAATAAAGTATGTGTATAAATTTTGCACATAATTATAATTTTAAAATGAAAGGGAAAACAAATAATCAGTCATTAATGTTTTTTCGAATAATAATATGTGTGACGTAAAAAATTAAATATTTGTTACATGTACGAGTATAATATTTGTTACATTTTAATTTGTTACATGTATACATATGACAGATACTGTATAATTATACATAAAATAATACATTAATTACTCCGGGTTTTTCTTGGTATTAAAAACAATTTGAGGAAAAATGTTCATTTCAGTTTAAAATTTATTCAAAACTATTATAATATTTAATAGAATACGCAGGACCAATTTTGATGTACCTCACTTCAGTAGCTTTAATATATGGTTAAGACCAGATCAATCAAATGTTGTTCTCAAAAAACATGAACTTCTATTCAGTACTCACATTTGAATGTTACAATTTATTCTTTCTCATTTTCCTAAAAGTAGAACCAACGATTAGTTAACACCATAGAGCGGAACAATAAGTCAGCTAGATTTAAAAGATGCTAATGAATAACTTATGGATTTGTTTTACTTCAATAATTTTTCCACTTAGGCGACCATAAATTGGTAAATGATAGTGCTCTATACTGGCAGTTAAACGTTTATTTTGCTATTGAAAAAAACCTTTAAGCATAGTAAGTATTTATTACACATACATACACATATAGAGTCAAACATTGTTTTTGCAGTCTCTTGAAATTGAGCCATTTTAACAGTAGAGACAGCATAATTAAGATGAAGTTGCCTAAATCAATCAATTTAAAAAAAAAAACAAATTGAAGTAATTTATGCACACTCATTGATAACTCAAAACTAGTTTATCCCAAAGAAAGAATCGTATATCGCCTTACAAATGCCATTAAAATTACAATAATGTCATTGAATATCTTTGAGCACTATATCACCTTTTAAACTCCAGTTAGTTTCAGTACCAGTGCATTGTAGGCCTCAAACAAGTGTTGGTTTTTTATTTAAAATTTTTTAAATAAGATAACATTACTACGCTCAAAAAACAAATAAAAAATTATTATTTTGAGCTTAATGTAAAGTAAATCTAAAATATTTTAATTTCAAAAAAAAAATTACAAAAATTATAATTTTTTTTTCTGATAAAAACATTAAAAAAAAATTAACGTTTTTACTTAATTTTATAAATTATTTATTTCACACATTTTTTTAATTTATTAATCATATATTCATAAACATTTATTTGCATAGAAGATAGTAAAAAAATATATACGTATGTATACATATATATGTATCTGTATGTACAAGAGAGCCGTACCCATATATTATATAACAAGAAAAATGGTAATACAAATTATTTATTAAAAAATTATTAAAAATTTTATTTAATTTTTATCCTTGATCTAAATAAGGAAATCGATATTTAAATATTAAAATATTGCAAAAAAATATTTATTTTATTTTATATATATACATACGGTAATTTTATTATAATTCCGTTAAAATATATGTGTATTGCAAATATTGTAAAGGTAATATAAAATTTATTACTTTTATTTAATTTAAAAATAATTTATATATAGAAATAATTTTTAATTAATAATATTGATATTAAAAAAAAATATATATATTATTAATTTTACGTTATACAAATATTAATTAATTACTATACTTTTTTTAATATTTTATTAAATTATAAAATTCCTATTGAATAGAGATTTGAATAGAACATACATGTACGAATATGTATGTATTTAAAAAGTTTCAATAAAATTATATTTTTCTTTAGCATTTCAATTTGAGTTATTGTATTCTAAGCCCAGATTAAGCAATTTAGTTAAAATATTTTCTTATGTATCTAATGAAAACCCTAATAAACTATGTGTAATAGATAATCATTAAAGCTTTACTTTATAAATTTCAATTTTCAACAATTATTTATAGCAATTAATTTGATATCATCTTAATTTCTCTTGTAAATATAGGAAGTTTTCATAATTATATAATTACACCTTTACGTTTACATACATAATTGTAAAATAATTAGTATATAATTACAAAAAATTTTAATATAGACAGGTACTTCTTTTCTTGACCATTTATAATAAAAATCAGAAAAAAAAAATTTTAAAAGTTCTTCTTTACTTCTTTAAATTTAATGTAAAATAAATTTTATTATACAAGTAATAAATGTAACATTCAAATGTCAATATGTAAAATAGACACCTTTTAATTTAAATTTTCATATAAAAATGTCAATAAATTGTCTAATATTTTAAATTATATTCTCAAACAATTTCTTGGGCTAACATAAAACACAAAACATACAAGTATATTATACATATTCATAATGGATTACGATACAATTACACACTAAAGATAACTACTATTATTAACCTATAAAATTAAAATTAAATAATAATTATCTTATTTTATCTAATGTTCGCATACCTAATCAGCTATATAATTATAATACCATTCACTTACATTATTAGAGGTAAGATTTTTAACTTAAGAAAAAAATAATTTATCTCTGAAGAAAAAAATTAACAATTACATATGTACATATATAAAATTAATAATATCACAAAAATCATTTAAATATCAAACAATACATTAAATTATGAAATTTATTATGTTTTCCTTTAATAAATGCTCAATAAATTCATATTAAACCAACAGCTATGCCATAACGTATAAATTATTAATTTAATTCAAATAATTAATAAAAATTGTACAATTATGCATTTTAAAATGTAAAAGTGATAAAATATTTTTATATAGGTCAGTCAAGTTTTATACTGATTTGAACTCATAAATTTTTAAATTTAATCCATTTTGAAAATAAACTATTGAAATTATGAGAGAAACGATTAAAAAAATTTTATTTCTATTCACACAAATCAATAATTTTTTTTTTTTTATTGAAATTAAAATTATGTAAATGTAAATTACAATTTAATGGAAATATATTTTATGCAATATATGTGGTTAAAAAATAAAAAATGCAAAAAAAAAACAAATAACAGTAAAGTTAGAGAATTTAAAAACAAAAAAATGCAATGCACATTTACTTAAAAGTTTTAAATTTAATTACTTATACGTTATACTCATACAAAGTTACTTACATATTCATGTTAATTTTCGTAACATAAATTTGTAAAAATCAAAATTTGACCAATGTATGTTTTCAAAATATCTTCTATAGGTCTATAGATTATTTTCTTAAAACAAATTACAAACATAATTAACTCATACTTCATTTTAGAATTTATAAATGAAAAATGCCCAAAATCGAAATAAGAATTCGAAAATTGAAATTATTACTCCCACCTAGCTTTTCATCAAATTTAAATCAAACCGTGTAAAAATGGATGGATCCGCCTTCGACTACATCTTTGCCCCGCCAAGTTTGCTACAGCAAGTAATTTGGAATAATGTCCAAAAATTCTACACGAAAGAAAGCACAGAAGGAAGAAAATCAACTGTTGCCAATTTTGTAAAATGGCAGCATGACCCATGATACCATGCGGCCACTGTGATACGGCCCCTAATGGTACTTCAAGTTTCACAATCATCTGAATGCACAGTATATCTAATAGCAGTAGATGCAAGAGATTGAGTAAGGTTGTGGCGTAACATCGAATCAACACATATCATTGCCATACTCTGAATTTTGCTAATCAATTTGCAGCTTTACGGAGTGGCGACTACCAAACTAGAACAAACCACCGTTTTGTATAGCCACTATACCATGTTTGGTTTCAAACCCGACCTCTTTCCGATGAATTTTTTCACAAATAAAATGTAATAGTTGCCTTCTTCGCTCTTTTCATAATGTTAGACTTCCAGTTTAGCTTTGAATCAAGAATCAGGCACAAGAATTTAACCTCCCTGTTAAAGGATAAGTGGATTCCGTTGAATATTGGTGAAGTTTGGCATCTTATATCTCCTACTGAAAATAACTAGAAACAAATTGTAAAAGTTTGGTGATGCTCGTTTTATTCGCCTTTGAGTTACCGTACGATAGGCAGACATTTCTAAATCAACGCAGAATTTGGCTCTGATCAAAAATATATATATATATACATGTTTATACAGCAGACGACCTCTTCAAGTGATTGTAAACTCGAAAGTGACAATACCAAAATTAATTTAGCCTTCACTAAAGTGCAGGGTATAAAAATACTTGTTACAGTTTCTTTAATATGGGAAGCTTGAGAAATGACCAATAACTGTGTACGTATGCATAAATAGAATCGTTAATATCTTAATATTTTTCTAATTACCTAATAAAAATTAGATATGATTTGTAATAAAATGTTACTAATGAACGTAAAATTAATGAATTAACATAAAAATAAAAACTATATGTAGCTATATATAGTAGAAATAAAAATTTGAAAATTATTATCGAATATCGACCGCAAAAATAATTCGTTGTATACTCGTATAAAGTGGGTATTACAGAATACAAAACAAATTATTCCATTCGAAAGCAAATTCTAGAAAGCAAATTGTGAAAATTTTTATTGTTTTATTGTAAAAGATAAAAAATTATCTAAAAAATTTATTCAATATTAAAATAATATTATTATTAAGATATGCAAATTTTATCGATTTTTTAGATAATATTAAATGTATATACTTCATTTTTAATATACTTGATAAGAATAAAGAAAGTTATGTAAAGCGAAAATATTTGAAAAATTCTTAAGATTTACGCACTTTTCATAAAATATTTCTGTAAATTTAAACTGGCTATACCTACTAGCTCTGGGAAAATAGTATATCCAGTTCCAGTATATGCATTAACTTCTACACTTGCCTATAGAACACTTTCCAATTAATCAGTAAAATTATAAAAATCAGACCGTTGATGGAATATTTTTTATTTTTAATTAAAAATGTTTAATGCCATATAAATTATCTATATGCAATTAGTTACATATATACATTATATACCCATAATATAATTCTTTATTGATTTTACAATCTAACATTTTTAATAAAACACTCTTAAAGCATCATATAGGCCTACAACTTATTGCAATTAAAAATTAAAAATCAATAAAAAAAAATGAAATTTATTATGATTATGCTTAAATGTGTGAAAAACACAAATTCAAAAATAAAATTATCACCTTGAATATTTTGCATATAATAATATGAACTATGTGTGTATACACAATGTATGATATAATCGCTACTATCGTACAATATTGCAAATAAATATTTCTTATATTATTATAACCCACATATACAGGGTGTCCAACATTCGACAGCACTCCCAAAGCAGAGAGGTAGAATGTTTCCAGAATAACAAAAATATATTTGCTATACCGAAATTTTTTTGGGCCCTCCTTTTCAGGTTATGAGACCTCTAGATTTGCATTTTCTGAAAACCGCCTAATTTTTACATTTTCATTGATAACTCTGTAAATTTGACGGGTAACCATCAACTTTATATACTCATTTTATAAGCTCATCAAATTTCCCTTCTAAAAGTGTTGTGATAATGTCGAAAACATTTTTTAATTTTGCTTTGACTGTTGTTCACTCATAATTACACGTTACTAACCTATCATTTTTCGCACGGAAAAAGATATCTGAAATTCCATACCTTCATTTTTGATTATGAACAAAAAGTCCTGTACTGAATCACCGTGTTTATAATATGTTGTATATATATGCATAATTTATATTTTCTCTATTTATTAATCTAAAATTTATTAGTAGCAAATCAATTACAATAAAGTTTAAATAAAATTAACAATAAATGCTACTCTTTATTACCACATAGTAATTTTTGTGTTTTACTTTATTTAATTTTTTTCTTATGTTTTATTTTTCTTATTTCTTGTTAAGGACACACCTTTGTATATGTTATAATGCATATAAAAACAATAATCATATTTCATTGAAAACGCTTTTTAAAATGATTTCAGTGTACTTAGAATAATAAATTGTAACTTATGTGATTACCCCACATACAAGTACATAATCATAATGTACTTACATAAATGTATGTACCTCAAAAATTATGTACTCAAAGTTGACATTTACCATAATATTAAAATTATATACAATGTATGTATGTGTGTAAGATCAAATTAACTTGCAATATGTTGCGCTCTATATAAATTGTGATCCGAATTTATATAGTTTTCCTAAAAAGAGAACAAAATTATTTGACATTTTGTATACACATAGAACATGCAATATGTATGGTGAGTAAACACTTATATTATGCTCTATAAATGTAGTTGAGTATATTACTTATGCTTGCCTTATATTCATGAGTACTATACTTTCGTTAGAGCTCAAATTTCAGAGTCATTATATCCAAACCATATCATTAAAATAATAGATTCAATGTAAGGCATAAAAATAATTATTTAACAAAATGTGTAAAATTTATGTAAAAATTTCGTATATATATATGTATATATATCTAATGTGATCTGAAAAAAACAAAAATAAATGCAAAAAGCATAAACTTCATTTTATAAGATCAGATATGCGAAAAATTATTAAATTGATTACTATAATTGATTAATAATTGATTTCGCGGTTATACTCTTTTTCCCGTTACTTTTTTTTTATTTATGTTTGTTTTTCTTAATAATTGCTTCTCATATTCTGAATAGTATATTGTATATTAGTTTTTATATTACCAGTTTTAAAGTTCTAAATTTTCTAATAACAATGAAAAATATTCAAGAATATTATTTTGTACATATTTAAATTAATTAGAATTGATGTGATCAATCAGAAGAAAATCGTTTGCACCCAAAATTACTAACTGTAAAATTTTGAATATATTGTCGAAAGAGGATTAACATTAACATACAATATAACACGATCAACAATGAATGTATAATGCGGGTGATATAATAATAATAATTTTGCGCTAATAAACATTATAATTTAAGATTATAATAATAATGGATGATGTGCATTTTAAAATTAGAAAATAAGAACATTTTCATTTAAAAAAAGTAGAAATAATATTTTCTTTTAAAAATTTATATGTATTACTTCAAAGTTATTTCACTTTGAAGTAATACATAAACCATATGTGGACCATGACCCTTAGCAGTAAACCATGTTGGAATGGTCGACAATGTCCCATTTCTTCCAATAATTCAAGGCACGCGGGACCGTTGTCTTAGTGTCCAAAAGTATGGTTACCACTCTCCTCTGGGCTACACCATCACATTTCTTGTTTCCGTATATATGCCGTAATGTCCCAGCACCCACATCAAAGTTACCTTGTTATATAAATAGCCAGGACGTCAGGGGCATCAATTAATTTCATTAATAGTTTGGATCCCACTATATCAGTCCCGATTTCCCCATTTTATATTTTAAAAACTTAATTGATAAATTTAGTTTTATTTCCTTACTATTTGCTTATATATATATATATACACATAACATGCAATTTTATTTGAAATTTTAATATAATTGAAACATACATACATTATATTATGTATAATAATGTATAAGAATGTGTACGAATAGACATGCGTTAAGTGTATATTTAATGTTCTGTACTCGTACAGAATTTCCGTAATTATTCGTAATTAATAAATAATGGTTTTCACCTTGAATGAACCACCCACCCACCTGTAAATCAAAGTTAATGAAATATAAGTTGAGTTTATCTATGCTTAACAAAATAAAAAATCAAATATAATTAAACTAAAATTTTCAGAATAATTTTTAATTACCACATTTTTTATTTTCTTATCTTTCTTATTTTTCTCTATATTCCTGTCTTAAATCTTAAAAAAAAAATAAAACATTAAAGACTCAAACCACTTAAGTAACTAGTATTATTAAGTTTCTATGTATGTATATCGTACACGCCGAAGAAAACAAAAACTTTATTTTAAAAATTTTGCGACAATTAAACGGAAATAATTTGTGAAATACAAATAAAAAACATAAAGAAATTATAAAAAAAAAAATTTTTGCAAACCTATTTGGTATAATAATAGTGTAATTAAGTTTATTATATTTATTTCTGAAGTAGTATTATAAGAATTTTAACACATTAAAATCATTTAGAGAATATATGATATGCAATCCTTGCAAGAGTTTCAAACGTTCTATTGTGAATCGTTATTTAATAATAAAATCTATAAATCGTTCATATTTTGGAAGTAGGAAAAACATAATTTTCAATACTCTAATTTTGAGTTAGAGAAGTTAGATGCTCAGGATCAAAATCCAGATGAACAGTCAGATTATTTTATAATTGAAATAAATATATAAATATATGAATATGCCTGGTGACGGAATTCTCATTTTCGTACAGATTATGCAAAGTTATACACATAAATGTTTTTCTAATTTCAAAAATTCGAATTTGTCTCTCAAGTTAATTAAGTTTCACTGTAAGTTTCAATCTAATTT